CGTATATCTTTGTTTCTATTAATAATTTGGACTTGAGTCCTGAAGAAGAATTGTGTATATGTACGATAGGAACCCAAAGCAACTCGTATTTCAGCATGCCCATAATGTATTCAAAATTTAAGTCAATCTCCGTAACACGGTTGATTTAGTAAACCCGAAGAGTATGCACCTGAGTGAAAGACTTATATCTTTGTTTCTATTAATAATTTGGACTTGAGTCCTGAAGAAGAATTGTGTATACTTACGATAGGAACCCAACGCAACTCGTATTTCAGCATGCCCATAATGTATTCAAAATTTAATCCAATCTCCGTAACACGGTTGATTTAGTAAATCTGAATAGTATGCACCTGAGTGAAACACGTATATCTTTGTTTCTATTAATAATTTGGACTTGAGTCCTGAAGAATAATTGTGTATATTTACGATAGGAACCCAACGCAACTCGTATTTCAGCATGCCCATAATGTATTCAAAATTTAAGCCAATCTCCGTAACACGGTTGATTTAGTAAACCTGAAGAGTATGCACCTGAGTGAAAGACATATATCTTTGTTTCTATTAATAATTTGGACTTGAGTCCTAAAGAAGAATTGTGTATATTTACGATAGGAACCCAACGCAACTCGTATTTCAGCATGCCCATAATGTATTCAAAATTTAAGCCAATCTCCGTAACACGGTTGATTTAGTAAACCTGAAGAGTATGCACCTGAGTGAAAGACGTATATCTTTGTTTCTATTAATAATTTGGACTTGAGTCCTAAAGAAGAATTGTGTATATTTACGATAGGAACCCAACGCAACTCGTATTTCAGCATGCCCATAATGTATTCAAAATTTAAGCCAATCTCCGTAACACGGTTGATTTAGTAAACCCGAAGAGTATGCACCTGAGTGAAAGACTTATATCTTTGTTTCTATTAATAATTTGGACTTGAGTTTTGAAGAAGAATTGTGTATATTAACGATAGGAACCCAACACAACTCGTATTTCAGCATTCCCATTATGTATTCACAATTTAAGCCAATCTCCGTAACAGGGTTGATTTAGTAAACCGGAAGAGTATGCACCTGAGTGAAAGACGTATATCTTTGTTTCTATTAATAATTTGGACTTGAGTCCTGAAGAAGAATTGTGTATATTTACGATAGGAACCCAACGCAACTCGAATTTCAGCATTCCCATAATGTATTCAAAATTGAAGCCAATCTCCGTAACACGGTTGATTTAATAAACCTGAAGAGTATGCACCTGAGTGAAAGACGTATATCTTTGTTTCTATTAATAATTTGGACTTGAGTCCTGAAGAAGAATTGTGTATATTTACGACAGGAACCCAACGCAACTCGTATTTCAGCATGCCCATAATGTATTCAAAATTTAAGCCAATCTCCGTAACACGGTTGATTTAGTAAACCTGAAGAGTATGCACCTGAGTGAAAGACGTATATCTTTGTTTCTATTAATAATTTGGACTTGAGTCCTAAAGAAGAATTGTGTATATTTACGATAGGAACCCAACGCAACTCCTATTTCAGCATGCCCATAATGTATTCAAAATTTAAGCCAATCTCCGCAACACGGTTGATTTAGTAAACCCGAAGAGTATGCACCTGAGTTAAAGACTTATATCTTTGTTTCTATTAATAATTTGGACTTGAGTCCTGAAGAAGAATTGTGTATACTTACGATAGGAACCCAACGCAACTCGTATTTCAGCATGCCCATAATGTATTCAAAATTTAATCCAATCTCCGTAACACGGTTGATTTAGTAAATCTGAAGAGTATGCACCTGAGTGAAACACGTATATCTTTGTTTCTATTAATAATTTGGACTTAAGTCCTGAATAATAATTGTGTATATTTACGATAGGAACCCAACGCAACTCGTATTTCAGCATGCCCATAATGTATTCAAAATTTAAGCCAATCTCCGTAACACGGTTGATTTAGTAAACCTGAAGAGTATGCACCTGAGTGAAAGACTTATATCTTTGTTTCTATTAATAATTTGGACTTGAGTCCTGAAGAAGAATTGTGTATATTTACGATAGGAACCCAACGCAACTCGTATTTCAGCATGCCCATAATGTATTCACAATTTAAGCCAATCTCCGTAACACGGTTGATTTAGTAAACCTAGAGAGTATGCACCTGAGTGAAAGACGTATATCTTTGTTTCTATTAATAATTTGGACTTGAGTTCTGAAGAAGAATTGTGTATATTTACGATAGGAACCCAACGCAACTCGCAATTCAGCATGCCCATAATGTATTCAAAATTTAAGCCAATCTCCGTCACACGGTTGATTTAGTAAACCTGAAGAGTATGCACCTGAGTCAAAGACTTATATCTTTGTTTCTATTAATAATTTGGACTTGAGTCCTGAAGAAGAATTGTGTATATTTACGATAGGAACCCAACGCAACTCGTATTTCAGCATGCCCATAATGTATTCAAAATTTAAGCCAATCTCCGTAACACGGTTGATTTAGTAAACCCGAAGAGTATGCACCTGAGTGAAAGACTTATATCTTTGTTTCTATTAATAATTTGGACTTGAGTCCTGAAGAAGAATTGTGTATATTTACGATAGGAACCCAACGCAACTCGAATTTCAGCATGCCCATAATGTATTCAAAATGTAAGCCAATCTCCGTAACACGGTTGATTTAGTAAACCTGAAGAGTATGCACCTGAGTGAAAGATGTATATCTTTGCTTCTATTAATAATTTGGACTTGAGTCCTGAAGAAGAATTGTGTATATTTACGATAGGAACCCAACGCAACTCGTATTTCAGCATGCCCATAATGTATTCAAAATTTAAGCCAATCTCCGTAACATGGTTGATTTAATAAACCTAAAGAGTATGCACCTGAGTGAAAGACGTATATCTTTGTTTCTATTAATAATTTGGACTTGAGTCCTGAAGAAGAATTGTGTATATTTACGATAGGAACCGAAAGCAACTCGTATTTCAGCATGCCCATAATGTATTCAAAATTTAAGTCAATCTCCGTAACACGGTTGATTTAGTAAACCCGAAGAGTATGCACCTGAGTGAAAGACTTATATCTTTGTTTCTATTAATAATTTGGACTTGAGTCCTGAAGAAGAATTGTGTATACTTACGATAGGAACCCAACGCAACTCGTATTTCAGCATGCCCATAATGTATTCAAAATTTAATCCAATCTCCGTAACACGGTTGATTTAGTAAATCTGAAGAGTATGCACCTGAGTGAAACACGTATATCTTTGTTTCTATTAATAATTTGGACTTGAGTCCTGAAGAATAATTGTGTATATTTACGATAGGAACCCAACGCAACTCGTATTTCAGAATGCCCATAATGTATTCAAAATTTAAGCCAATCTCCGTAACACGGTTGATTTAGTAAACCTGAAGAGTATGCACCTGAGTGAAAGACGTATATCTTTGTTTCTATTAATAATTTGGACTTGAGTCCTAAAGAAGAATTGTGTATATTTACGATAGGAACCCAACGCAACTCGTATTTCAGCATGCCCATAATGTATTCAAAATTTAAGCCAATCTCCGCAACACGGTTGATTTAGTAAACCCGAAGAGTATGCACCTGAGTGGAAGACTTATATCTTTGTTTCTATTAATAATTTGGACTTGAGTCCTGAAGAAGAATTGTGTATACTTACGATAGGAACCCAACGCAACTCGTATTTCAGCATGCCCATAATGTATTCAAAATTTAATCCAATCTCCGTAACACGGTTGATTTAGTAAATTTGAAGAGTATGCACCTGAGTGAAACACGTATATCTTTGTTTCTATTAATAATTTGGACTTGAGTCCTGAAGAATAATTGTGTATATTTACGATAGGAACCCAACGCAACTCGTATTTCAGCATGCCCATAATGTATTCAAAATTTAAGCCAATCTCCGTAACACGGTTGATTTAGTAAACCTGAAGAGTATGCACCTGAGTGAAAGACATATATCTTTGTTTCTATTAATAATTTGGACTTGAGTCCTAAAGAAGAATTGTGTATATTTACGATAGGAACCCAACGCAACTCGTATTTCAGCATGCCCATAATGTATTCAAAATTTAAGCCAATCTCCGTAACACGGTTGATTTAGTAAACCCGAAGAGTATGCACCTGAGTGAAAGACTTATATCTTTGTTTCTATTAATAATTTGGACTTGAGTTTTGAAGAAGAATTGTGTATATTAACGATAGGAACCCAACACAACTCGTATTTCAGCATTCCCATAATGTATTCACAATTTAAGCCAATCTCCGTAACAGGGTTGATTTAGTAAACCGGAAGAGTATGCACCTGAGTGAAAGACGTATATCTTTGTTTCTATTAATAATTTGGACTTGAGTCCTGAAGAAGAATTGTGTATATTTACGATAGGAACCCAACGCAACTCGAATTTCAGCATTCCCATAATGTATTCAAAATTGAAGCCAATCTCCGTAACACGGTTGATTTAATAAACCTGAAGAGTATGCACCTGAGTGAAAGACGTATATCTTTGTTTCTATTAATAATTTGGACTTGAGTCCTGAAGAAGAATTGTGTATATTTACGACAGGAACACAACGCAACTCGTATTTCAGCATGCCCATAATGTATTCAAAATTTAAGCCAATCTCCGTAACACGGTTGATTTAGTAAACCTGAAGAGTATGCACCTGAGTGAAAGACGTATATCTTTGTTTCTATTAATAATTTGGACTTGAGTCCTAAAGAAGAATTGTGTATATTTACGATAGGAACCCAACGCAACTCGTATTTCAGCATGCCCATAATGTATTCAAAATTTAAGCCAATCTCCGCAACACGGTTGATTTAGTAAACCCGAAGAGTATGCACCTGAGTGAAAGACTTATATCTTTGTTTCTATTAATAATTTGGACTTGAGTCCTGAAGAAGAATTGTGTATACTTACGATAGGAACCCAACGCAACTCGTATTTCAGCATGCCCATAATGTATTCAAAATTTAATCCAATCTCCGTAACACGGTTGATTTAGTTTTTTTTTTTGGATAAAATGTAAGTATATATATCCAGAAAAATAGCATAGTACAATGCATCACGAGTACACTCAAAGTGCATATCCCAAATCACGGGGTACCACAAACTCAAGGCAACATTCTCACAAATCAAACATCATGAAGCCAAACAAAAAAAACAAACCTACAAAACCAGCTCCGACAGAGTAAAAGGTGTCCCTAAATAATCATCCAAAGAAAAGTCGGAAAGGAGTAGTAAACTTTGAGTCAAAGCAAATCTCCCCTTTCTTCTTAGTAACTCCCGGTAACCTCTCAAGACATTTGGCGGTGAAAGTTAGGCCTTTTTTGTCCAAATCATCCGTAAGTCGAAGGGAGGTATCCACTCTAATCACATTAGTGTGCACAAATTTAAAGGGCTTAACAAACAGCCTGAGCTTCTTTCCATTTACCACTTCACATTTGATAACTACATCATTTTGGTGCAAGTCGGTCTCCCTTGTTACTAGTCTTTCATTTTCTTCCAAAAATACCTCGTCTTCTTCATCCTCGGAGGACTCATGGACTGTTTTCACACCCATAAGTTGGCCAATAGTCAATCTCCTTTTCACGGCAGGCAGTTCAGGCTCGTGGGCAGTCTGTCCAAGTAACCCGGTCGGGTTTGGGGTTGACCCGGTCGGGTGTGGCCCCTTGGCAGCTGTTTTTCCCCTGGACCCGGTCGGGCTAGGCTTAGGCCCGGTCGGGTGAAGCTCCTGGGCAGATTTTGCCCGGACAGAAGTAAGTCCAACTTCATCATTTTCTCCAACAACAACGAGTTCCTTGTTTTCCCCAACCCCACATAACTTCTTACAAATAAATGGGTGGTGCCCATATTCTTTGCAGTGAAAACAATAGCTAGGAAAAGTTTCATAAACTACACTTTGTTTGAATACCTTTTGGGAAGGTAACCGTATAGGAAACGAGAGTGGTGGCGGCTTCGAGATGTCAACCTCTATCAAAACTCTAGCATAGTCATTGTTGATCCTCTCTTTGGTGATTTTATCCGTAGCTATTGGGACCCCAACCATGGAAGCTACCTCACTCATGGCCTCCTCATTCCATAGTTGCATAGGTAAATCATGGAACTTAACCCAAATTGGTACTTTTAAAAATTCTTCGTCCTCAAACGAAAAATTTTCCGAAAGTTCCTTGAGCATGAGAAGCTTCCCAAACACGGTGTATGGTCCTCCAAGTAGAACCTTAGATCTATCCTCTCCACTTTGAAATTTAAAAATCATCCAACCTTTTTTGTGGGACCTCACAAGGCACTTGACACCCCATTTTGCTTTAAGGTCATGAACTGCTTTGAGTCCGGGAAAATTCCCGGTGAAATGTCCAACAAGGCAAAACCCCCACATTTCAACCATAGTCGGTAAGACCCGATCCCCAAAATCCAAAGACTCACCAATAGGAGGGATATATCTTAGTTTAAACCCGTGGCTTGGATCACGATTATCTTTAAACAAAGCCTTCCACTTTAAGGATTCAGGTTCTGCCCGTGGCATCGGGGGCAGTATCTCATTTATTACTCCCACAGTAGGCTGCGCAGGAGGCATTGGAGCACTTGACTTCCCGGGAGGTGTCTTCTTCTCACTCCCTGCAGCAGGTGGAACTGTCCCAGCAGCAGGTGAGACCAGCTCAAAGACCCTAGGCTTAGTAAAATCAGTTAAAACCTCAGTAGTAGCAGAAGGATTCCCAGCAGGTAGAGGTTTCCCATTAATGTCCTGGACTGAGGTAGTCGCCCCATCAATAGCAGCAACTTGCAGTGCTGCACTTTTCCCATTAATGCCCTGGGCCGGGGTAGTCCCCCCATCAATAGCAGCAACCTGCAATGCTGCAGTTTTCCCAGAAAGCTTCGTCCCAGAATTTCCAACAGTAAGGGTAGGGAAATTCTCATCCAGCCCTTCCAAGACATTAAATCCTGCTGCTGCCCTGGACCTGGTACTTATGGAAGGGGTTTGCATACCCTTCCCCTGTTTTTTGGAGCTGGAACGATCCCCAGCCATCGTCCTCGTTTCCAAGCAGCTCAGAAATCGAAAAAAGCCCCAAATCACAAAGAGCACGCCCCAAATCGCAGTTGAAAATCAGAGCACAAATAACAAATTGCTAACACAGTTGATATCAAATACAAGTACAGAATTCAATATTTGGGTTGGAAAGAGCTCAAATACGAATTTTAGACTTCGCCGCAGGGCCTCTACTTGATACGCCGAAACACAAATAGATTTCAGAAACCAGAATCGCTCAAACGTTACTGATAATCGAACAAAAATCTAAAAATCGTAGCAGCAAAACGACGACCGAATCGCTCTTCATCGTTTATGAACAGTGAAAGTTCAGTTCGAATCCGAGCAAAAGGCCTTAAACCATGATACGAATTTCAAATCCAGCTGCGGAAGTGAGCTCAGAGGTGAAAGTCGACCTAAAGACACCAAGAATCGCAGCTCAAAACACATCGGTAAGCCATCGATTCGTTCGTAGCACCTGAAACACGTATATCTTTGTTTCTATTAATAATTTGGACTTGAGTCCTGAATAATAATTGTGTATATTTACGATAGGAACCCAACGCAACTCGTATTTCAGCATGCCCATAATGTATTCAAAATTTAAGCCAATCTCCGTAACACGGTTGATTTAGTAAACCTGAAGAGTATGCACCTGAGTGAAAGACGTATATCTTTGTTTCTATTAATAATTTGGACTTGAGTCCTAAAGAAGAATTGTGTATATTTACGATAGGAACCCAACGCAACTCGTATTTCAGCATGCCCATAATGTATTTAAAATTTAAGCCAATCTCCGTAACACGGTTGATTTAGTAAACCTGAAGAGTATGCACGTGAGTGAAAGACGTATATCTTTGTTTCTATTAATAATTTGGACTTGAGTCCTGAAGAAGAATTGTGTATATTTATGATAGGAACCCAACGCAACCCGTATTTCAGCATGCCCATAATGTATTCAAAATTTAAGCACATCTTCGTAACACGGTTGATTTAGTAAACCCGAAGATTATGCACCTGAGTGAAAGACTTATATCTTTGTTTCTATTAATAATTTGGACTTGAGTCCTGAAGAAGAATTGTGTATATTTACGATACGAACCCAACGCAACTCGTATTTCAGCATGCCCATAATGTATTTACAATTTAAGCCAATCTCCGTAACACGGTTGATTTAGTAAACCTAGAGAGTATGCACCTGAGTGAAAAACGTATATCTTTGTTTCTATTATTAATTTGGACTTGAGTCCTGAAGAAGAATTGTGTATATTTACGATAGGAACCCAACGCAACTCGCAATTCAGCATGCCCATAATGTATTCAAAATTTAAGCCAATCTCCGTAACACGGTTGATTTAGTAAACCTGAAGAGTATGCACCTGAGTGAAAGACGTATATCTTTGTTTCTATTAATAATTTGGACTTGAGTCCTGAAGAAGAATTGTGTATATTTACGATAGGAACCCAACGTAACTCGTATTTCAGCATGCTCATAATGTATTCAAAATTTAAGCCAATCTCCGTAACACGGTTGATTTAGTAAACCTGAAGAGTATGCACCTGAGTGAAAGACGTATATCTTTGTTTCTATTAATAATTTGGACTTGAGTCCTAAAGAAGAATTGTGTATATTTACGATAGGAACCCAACGCAACTCGTATTTCAGCATGCCCATAATGTATTTAAAATTTAAGCCAATCTCCGTAACACGGTTGATTTAGTAAACCTGAAGAGTATGCACGTGAGTGAAAGACGTATATCTTTGTTTCTATTAATAATTTGGACTTGAGTCCTGAAGAAGAATTGTGTATATTTATGATAGGAACCCAACGCAACCCGTATTTCAGCATGCCCATAATGTATTCAAAATTTAAGCACATCTTCGTAACACGGTTGATTTAGTAAACCCGAAGATTATGCACCTGAGTGAAAGACTTATATCTTTGTTTCTATTAATAATTTGGACTTGAGTCCTGAAGAAGAATTGTGTATATTTACGATACGAACCCAACGCAACTCGTATTTCAGCATGCCCATAATGTATTTACAATTTAAGCCAATCTCCGTAACACGGTTGATTTAGTAAACCTAGAGAGTATGCACCTGAGTGAAAAACGTATATCTTTGTTTCTATTATTAATTTGGACTTGAGTCCTGAAGAAGAATTGTGTATATTTACGATAGGAACCCAACGCAACTCGCAATTCAGCATGCCCATAATGTATTCAAAATTTAAGCCAATCTCCGTAACACGGTTGATTTAGTAAACCTGAAGAGTATGCACCTGAGTGAAAGACGTATATCTTTGTTTCTATTAATAATTTGGACTTGAGTCCTGAAGAAGAATTGTGTATATTTACGATAGGAACCCAACGTAACTCGTATTTCAGCATGCTCATAATGTATTCAAAATTTAAGCCAATCTCCGTAACACGGTTGATTTAGTAAACCTGAAGAGTATGCACCTGAGTGAAAGACATATATCTTTGTTTCTATTAATAATTTGGACTTGAGTCATGAAGAAGAATTGTGTATATTTACGATAGGAACCCAACGCAACTCGTATTTCAGAATGCCCATAATGTATTCAAAATTTAAGCCAATCTCCGTAACATGGTTGATTTAATAAACCTGAAGAGTATGCACCTGAGTGAAAGACGTATATCTTTGTTTCTATTAATAATTTGGACTTGAGTCCTGAAGAAGAATTGTGTATGTTTACGATAGGAACCCAACGCAACTCGTATTTCAGCATGCCCATAATGTATTCAAAATTTAAGCCAATCTCCGTAACACGGTTGATTTAGTAAACCCGAAGAGTATGCACCTGAATGAAAGACTTATATCTTTGTTTCTATTAATAATTTTGACTTGAGTCCTGAAGAAGAATTGTGTATACTTACGATAGGAACCCAACGCAACTCGTATTTCAGAATGCCCATAATGTATTCAAAATTTAATCCAATCTCCGTAACACGGTTGATTTAGTAAATCTGAAGAGTATGCACCTGAGTGAAACACATATATCTTTGTTTCTATTAATAATTTGGACTTGAGTCCTGAAGAATAATTGTGTATATTTACGATAGGAACCCAACGCAACTCGTATTTCAGCATGCCCATAATGTATTCAAAATTTAAGCCAATCTCCGTAACACGGTTGATTTAGTAAACCTGAAGAGTATGCACCTGAGTGAAAGACGTATATCTTTGTTTCTATTAATAATTTGGACTTGAGTCCTAAAGAAGAATTGTGTATATTTACGATAGGAACCCAACGCAACTCGTATTTCAGCATGCCCATAATGTATTTAAAATTTAAGCCAATCTCCGTAACACGGTTGATTTAGTAAACCTGAAGAGTATGCACGTGAGTGAAAGACGTATATCTTTGTTTCTATTAATAATTTGGACTTGAGTCCTGATGAAGAATTGTGTATATTTATGATAGGAACCCAACGCAACCCGTATTTCAACATGCCCATAATGTATTCAAAATTTAAGCACATCTTCGTAACACGGTTGATTTAGTAAACCCGAAGAGTATGCACCTGAGTGAAAGACTTATATCTTTGTTTCTATTAATAATTTGGACTTGAGTCCTGAAGAAGAATTGTGTATATTTACGATAGGAACCCAACGCAACTCGTATTTCAGCATGCCCATAATGTATTTACAATTTAAGCCAATCTCCGTAACACGGTTGATTTAGTAAACCTAGAGAGTATGCACCTGAGTGAAAGACGTATATCTTTGTTTCTATTATTAATTTGGACTTGAGTCCTGAAGAAGAATTGTGTATATTTACGATAGGAACCCAACGCAACTCGCAATTCAGCATGCCCATAATGTATTCAAAATTTAAGCCAATCTCCGTAACACGGTTGATTTAGTAAACCTGAAGAGTATGCACCTGAGTGAAAGACGTATATCTTTGTTTCTATTAATAATTTGGACTTGAGTCCTGAAGAAGAATTGTGTATATTTACGATAGGAACCCAACGTAACTCGTATTTCAGCATGCCCATAATGTATTCAAAATTTAAGCCAATCTCCGTAACACGGTTGATTTAGTAAACCTGAAGAGTATGCACCTGAGTGAAAGACGTATATCTTTGTTTCTATTAATAATTTGGACTTGAGTCCTGAAGAAGAATTGTGTATATTTACGATAGGAACCCAACGCAACTCGTATTTCAGAATGCCCATAATGTATTCAAAATTTAAGCCAATCTCCGTAACATGGTTGATTTAATAAACCTGAAGAGTATGCACCTGAGTGAAAGACGTATATCTTTGTTTCTATTAATAATTTGGACTTGAGTCCTGAAGAAGAATTGTGTATATTTACGATAGGAACCCAACGCAACTCGTATTTCAGCATGCCCATAATGTATTCAAAATTTAAGCCAATCTCCGTAACACGGTTGATTTAGTAAACCCGAAGAGTATGCACCTGAGTGAAAGACTTATATCTTTGTTTCTATTAATAATTTTGACTTGAGTCCTGAAGAAGAATTGTGTATACTTACGATAGGAACCCAACGCAACTCGTATTTCAGCATGCCCATAATGTATTCAAAATTTAATCCAATCTCCGTAACACGGTTGATTTAGTAAATCTGAAGAGTATGCACCTGAGTGAAACACATATATCTTTGTTTCTATTAATAATTTGGACTTGAGTCCTGAAGAATAATTGTGTATATTTACGATAGGAACCCAACGCAACTCGTATTTCAGCATGCCCATAATGAATTCAAAATTTAAGCCAATCTCCGTAACACGGTTGATTTAGTAAACCTGAAGAGTATGCACCTGAGTGAAAGACGTATATCTTTGTTTCTATTAATAATTTGGACTTGAGTCCTAAAGATGAATTGTGTATATTTACGATAGGAACCCAACACAACTCGTATTTCAGCATGCCCATAATGTATTCAGAATTTAAGCCAATCTTCGTAACACGGTTGATTTAGTAAACCCGAAGAGTATGCACCTGAGTGAAAGACTTATATCTTTGTTTCTATTAATAATTTGGACTTGAGTTCTAAAGAAGAATTGTGAATATTTACGATAGGAACCCAACACAACTCGTATTTCAGCATTCCCATAATGTATTCACAATTTAAGCCAATCTCCGTAACAGGGTTGATTTAGTAAACCGGAAGAGTATGCACCTGAGTGAAAGATGTATATCTTTATTTCTATTAATAATTTGGACTTGAGTCCTGAAGAAGAATTGTGTATATTTACGATAGGAACCCAACGCAACTCGTATTTCAGCATTCCCATAATGTATTCACAATTTAAGCCAATCTCCGTAACAGGGTTGATTTAGTAAACCGGAAGAGTATGCACCTGAGTGAAAGACGTATATCTTTGTTTCTATTAATAATTTGGACTTGAGTCCTGAAGAAGAATTGTGTATATTTACGATAGGAACCCAACGCAACTCGTATTTCAGCATTCCCATAATGTATTCAAAATTTAAGCCAATCTCCG